AAGTCGGATGCTTAACTGACTGAGCCACCCAGGCGCCCCAAATTCTCTTAGCTTTAAATAGAAAAGATAAAAACCTTGACCTTCACCACCATTTGTATTTTATTTTTAATTTTTTTAAATGTTTTTTATTTATTTTTGAGACAGAGACAGAGCATGAGCAGGGGAGGGGCAGAGAGACAGAGAGGGAGACACAGAATCTGAAGCAGGCTCCAGGCTCTGAGCTGTCAGCACAGAGCCCAACGCAGGGCTCGAACTCACAGACTGCGAGATCATGACCTAAGCCGAAGTCGGATGCTTAACTGACTGAGCCACCCAGGCGCCCCTAACCTTTACTACCATTCGTATTCAGAATGACCCGGAACATGTGGCCTTCCCAGGACTGCCTATCGGGAAGCTTCCTCTGTTTAATGGCTTTATCTAGTGCTGGGGCCCTCCTTTCTAGCACTAAATACAGGACTCAGTTAGATTTGAATTTCAGATATGCAGTGAATAATTGTTAGGATAAGTATACTAATATTGCATGGGGCATATGCATATACTAAAAAAATCCATTGTGTGTCTGAAATTCATTTGGACTGGGAGCCCTGTAATTTTACTTCCTACTCGCGGCATCCCCCAACTGGAACCCCTTCACTCCTTCCCCCTTTTCCTGAGTAGGACTCCTGAGAGATGAGGTTAGCAGCCTGACCCAACCCTGCACAGCTGGTCTGGATCCACACCCTTTCTCTATAATTCAGGAGGAAAAATTACCTCTAATCTTTTTTATTATTCTCTTGTCACTGAGTCCAGATTGGGACTCAGTGCCTGTTTGCCATTCATAGCCTGTTCTCTCTTTTCCTCCTGAACTCTGATAACCCTGTTAAGAGGAGTTAGGGGGAAAATATTCCTTAGCTAAAGAAAAGAAGGGAAAGTCTGCAGGCACTCAAGGATTACATTTTCTTGATGGTATCTCCCCCCTTAGCATTTCAGGGACGTGTCATTTACATCTTTAGCTAAGATGACAATTGCAGAAGGGTTGAGTCAGCCAGAGGAAGGGCCACTCCTGCAAGAACTGAGACAGTCCCACACCCCAGAGGCAGCCTGGGGGGGTGGGGGGTGGGGGAGGGTCTGGCAGCAGTGCAGGGACGGACAGGGGGTGGGGAGGTGGGGTCACGCCTCACCAGGTTTAGACCTCACCATCCCGACGAAGTGTGCATCTCCCCAGTCTCCGATTCAGAGCTCCTGCCTTTGGAACTCAGCATTTCACCTGCCAGGTGATCGGTCCATTGTGTCAAGGGTACCGGTTTCCCTGACGTTTGCAACTTTAGGTCCCTGGTCCCTGTGTGTTAGTCCATCCTAATCCATCAGCACTCAGCTGGGGTCCTTTCCGAGCTGCTTTCTTGGTCATTCAGCGATATCAAAAATCCTTTGACCTTTGGCTCTGTCCACCACATCCATTCTCCGGTTGGTTCTCTCCCTTTTTGCGCTTCTCCCGGGCTGTCGGGAGTAGCTGGGGAAAGTCTTGGAAAACACACAGTTGATGCTCTCAGACTTCAACGAGCCCCCAGTGTTACTTGGTAAACCTATTGCATTCACCTCTTATTTAAGCCTCTGTGAATTCCCCCACAGTGTCTCCTCAGCTTATCTTTAAGTT